TCACAGGCATTTTCCAAACAATTATGCATTTGTTGCTGGTGGAGCTTGATGGTATGTTTGGCAATGTGTACCCCACCTTTGAGCAATGCCTCAGAACCTGGGTCCTGCCAAAGTCAATGACAACACCTTTGGCATCTTTGTTCTCCAAAAAAAGACAGGTTGCAAATGCGAAGGCAAACACTTTCAAATGCACTGCATCTGAAGCTATAGGTCTTTTGGGTGTTTTTGGATACTTTCTTATGCAGATTGTCATCCCAAATGCAGAGCAATCTACAAAGGACAAGTGTCAGGTGTTCTTTGCACTTGCAGACATCATTGACCTGATCCAGCTGGTACCCAAGGGAAAGATTACCCCTGCTATGGTTGACAGAGCTGTGACGACATTCCTTTCTCTTTGCATATCATGTGGTTTCAAAGAGAATATGCATACCAAATTTCATTGGTGTCTTCACTTTGGCACTCATCTCCAAAAACATGGTCAACTTCCCAGCTGTTTTGTCCAAGAAAGAAAACATAAGGTTGTAAAGCGATGCTTGGCTATTTCAAGAAAGTGTTTAGTGTTTACTGTGTTGGTTCAATGTTCAACCAATGTCATTATTATCCACCACAGGTTTCATTGACCCTTACCCTGTTAAGGATATGCAACCTCGATCAGCAACACTTTGACCTTTGAAAAAAGTGTACTTTCAGAGCTTATTTGCCATGACCTTGCCAAGCTGAAGGAACCAAACCTCTTTTCAGAGAAGGCAAGGCTTGTCAACAAAGGTGCTGCAAGCAAGGCTTTGAAAGCCATTGTGTTAAATGCCTTTGAGTTGCCTGCTGACACCATTGTGCACAGCTCTTCACAGGCACACCTCCAACCAGCAGGTATTTGCAGCAAAGGTGATTTTTGTTTCCTTCACAGTTCGACCAACAGCCTGCAAGTTTGCCAAGTCTGGATGCATGTGGACATTGACAACATTGCTTACTCTTTGGTTTCCATGCTCGAAGTCCTTCAAGTGGACAAGACTGGACGCTTTGCTACTGTTAGACAGAATGAGATTGCAAAGTTTGTGCATACTTCTTCCTTGGCTTGCACCACTGCACATTCACACTTTGAAAACAAGGACTTCAGAATCCTTGTGCCACTTCAAATGAAGTGAGCAAAAGAGCGCATTCCAGCAGGTTTCAAAACATCCTGGTGGTACTAGTGTGTTCTTGCATGTGTTCTTGCCAGTGTCCTCATGGCACATAGATTTCACATAGCATGTCATTGACTACTTGTTGCAAGCCTGATGGCTTCATGTGGGTGGTTCTCATGCCCCATGCAAGGGCCAATCAGCCAAAGATAGAGTCATGCTACTTCATGGTAAGGTGTGTTCATTTGCATGATCAAGAATTTTGATGCTTAAAGTTTACCTATATTTCACAGAACATGTCATGGACTACTTGTTGCAAGCCTGATGGCTTCATGTGGGTGATTTTCATGTCCCATTCAAGGGCCAACCAGGCCAAAGATAGGTTCATGCTAATTCATGGTAAGATATGTTCGTTTGCATGATCAAGAGTTTTGGTGTTTAAGGTTGTCCATATCAATCAGTGGACATTTGTTGGACTAGCTACTTTGACATAAAACCTGGAGAACAGCTCTTGAGGGGATCTGCAGATGATCCAATGCCAGATGCCTGATAGGCCCAATGAAAGGATCAAGTCCTGGATCTATCATAGAGTGGGCAGGCTCAACCAAAGTGCCATTTGGGAATTCATGGAGGTGCCATTTGGAAGTCCATTTGGGCTAATATAGCTATGCCCCATGCTGTACTGGATTCATTTGGTGGTCAAACCCACTGGCACTCACCAAGTTTAGAGTCCAGCAGAGTGTTCTCCAAATAGCACAATGAGTGATCCAATCTTACACCCATGTCCATCCTCCTATACATACTACACCTGGAACCAAAACCAAAATATTTTACACTAACTAGATATTAACTCTGTAGAGAAAGGGTACGTGGCAAAGGCCATTGCCCTATGTGTTGCTCTGGATTTGGGGTTGCATGAGTGATCCAATCTTATGGAGAATGCACCCATGTCCATCCTCCTATACATACTACACCTGGAACCAAAACCAAAATATTTTACACTAACACAAATAGACAGAGATTAACTCTGTTTGTGTTTGGAAACAACAAAGCCTGGACAATGGATTCACATTCCAAGGCACACTTGAATGTGTTTTCACATGAACACACAAAATTGTTTTTGCTTTTTGAAGCAGAAAACAGTCAATTCACAAGCATGTCTATCAGGGAGAATATACAAAGACACTGTGAATATTTATGTAAATGTATATTTTTTGATTAAGAAAACACAAAAACCTAACCGAGGTGCATTTTTATATACAAACTGTTAACCAGTTAGCTAACCAGTTAGCAAACCTGCTAAGTTGCTAGCTTTTCACTCACAACTTAACCACTTAGCTAAGTCCTGTAAACTTTATAACTTCTTTAGTAACTCCTGATAAACAATAAGATCTTCAGGGGACATCCCAGAAGTGGAACCAAGGCCTCACTCGGATACAATGCAGCACGAATACAGTGGGTCTTGTGTCCGATCGGCGCGTTCTGCTGGAGGGTGCGCACGTCGTTCAGCAGTGACCCTTGGTCGTCAACGTATACGATCGGGCCAAACTGCGCGACCAACTTCGCTTTGCTTCCAATGTGTCCGGTAATCGATGCCCCCTGCTCGGTGTCTGTGGAAAACTTGGTTCGCGTTATCGCGAAAATGTCAAAAGACCAACCAAGTCGACGCTCAAGCTCAGCGACACCAGCTGCAACTCCTTCCTGAGTGGCCTTATTCGAGGCGAAACTGAGGATTCCGATGGAGAACCCTTTTTCCTTGACCGTCCTCAATGTCTGCACGGTCGCCTCCGCCACCGGTGGGTCGTTGTTCGGAAAGCTGAGGGTTTTATGGAAGTCCAGCAGCACGAGTGGTTTGTCTTGCCAGTTCGACGGCGCACCACGTGGTTCGGGAGGTCGAGATGATGGAGAAGGTGCCGTTTGCTCTGGCTGAGCTGGTCTCTCCTTTGGTCTCGGCGCGAGAACCACTGGTCGGACTTCTTCAGTAAGGCGAGGTTTCGACGATGCACGAGTCAACGGCACAGGAGGAGTTCTCGGCGCCGGAGGTGGAGTCGGCAAGTTTTCAATCTCACGCTTCCTGGCGGCTTCCGTCTGCTCAACTTCCTCTTTTGTAGGAACAGGCGGCGGAACTGGAAGTTCCTCAAGAGCTCGCTTCAAGCCCGATCCAGAAGAGCCTTCACCTTCGCGATGACGCGAAGGCGTATCACGACCAATGGCACGCTTCAATGCACCAACTGCTGACTGCTCACGCACAATGTCTCCAGTCTCACTCGACTCTTTTCGTACCTTGGCCTTAGCCGATGTTGCGGTTGGTGGAGGCTTGACACGTTCTTCAACTGGCGGTTTCTCCTCAAACTGTTCCTCGCTCACTGACGGTGAAGGCTTGCCTGTAGACGGCCTGGGGGCCTTCGAGCGAAGTTCACGGGCACGTTCACGAAGGGTATCCGGTTCTGCCGACACCGAATGCTCAGTGGCCTCCTCGGTTGCCTGTCTCGCGATCGAGTCCTCGGTCGCTGAAAAGTCAACACCTGATGCCACTTCCGGCGAAGCGCCGGGAACCTCAGGAGCAATGTCACCAACTGCTGTACGACGAGTCTCACGAGGCTCACCTGTCACCGTGTCAACACTCTCACCTTCAAGCTCCACGTCCTCCTCGGGGACCTCGTCGTCCTGGGACCCTTCTCGATCCCTGCTGTCGTCACGTACAGGGCTCAATCCACCTTCAGGAACCCACACCCAGCACTTTTGCCACCGACCACGAGGCCTCGAACGGGATCTCTCCGTATGTTCACTCGGCGTCTGTGACCGTCTTCGTCGATCGCGAGGACGCTCTTCAACCACCGACTCTTCAGAATCGGATGCAGGCCTGGGCAATCGCCTGGTCTCCCAGGTCTCCACAACTCCAGGGGGAGGGAACCTGGGCTGCCTCGGGCTCTGCGCCCGGTAAACCTCCCTGACACGCGATCGGCTGTCGCGACCACGCTCACGCCCCGACTCACGCTCACGCTCTCCACGTCGCTCTCGATGCCGGGTGGTCCTCTCGGGATCTCTCGGTCTGTCTTCCGTGGGGAGTCCACGCTCCCGACGGGACTGCTGGCTTGGCCTGTTAGGGTCACCACCCCGTGGGCCACGTCGACGCCGCGATCGTTCTCGCGGTGGCATGGATCGCGCCCGGAAGCGCGAGGCAACAAGTGTTCGAAAGCAGCTTCAACACAATGCCGATGTTCTCGTTTTGACAAGCTTGTCTCTCTCTATGTGTATGGTCTCGTTTCTTCAACCACTGATCTCCTTGTAGCTCTTGCGGCTGATAACCAGATAAGTTCGAGAACCTTGGTATATACGTAGTAGGCCGACACAATCGCGATCGAATCCTTTCGGTCGCGGCACGGTCTGTTTTCCCAAAGTCCTTGAGCCAAATCAGGTTGGCGTCCAGTGACACAGTGCAAACGGCAAAGCCGATTACCGATGATGCAAGTCTTTACATGACAATTCCAGTCTTGGACAAGTGTTCCTAGACATCAACTATACATGACGTGTCATCTATACATGAAGTGTGCAACCTCACTCAAAGCTCAGTTCTTCTTGGGGACGTTTCTAGCTGAGGGATTTCTTCTGATACTATATAATTATGTCGTGCCGGTGGTTGGGTGCTTCATTTGCATCGAGGAGGTTGCTTTTGCCCCCCCACCCCCAGAAATGGGTACTATTTAGTACATGTTTCGGGGCTCCATTTTCTTCAAATTATAATTGATTTACTTTCAACCTCCTAATAATTATGGAGAGAACACAAGTACAAGTGTTTCTATTGGTTGGAGGCCATCGCTCTATGGTGGAGGCCATCGCTATTAGGTTCCCTATTAGGTTCTGTTTGAGCATATCCCACACCTGCACTGCTGCTGCTTCGACATCATAGACGTTGGCAACGTCTTGGGAGATCATAAGGAACCTTGAGTCGAACGTTGGCGAACTTGTTTTTCATTTACTAGTCGGATTAGTCGTGAATCTATTGGAGCCGGTTCTTGCAGCAAAAGATTAGCGAGGTCTTCGAAGTTTCTTTCACTGGCGAGCTTCTTTGAGCTTCTACAGCGTCCCTTCCTACTGCTTGCTATTGCTTGGCTTTAGCTTCTTACTGGTGGCCTATCCCCCCAAAACCACCAAACAAAAAATTTGAATGCAAGATTGCATGTCCATTCATGCATCTTGAGCAAGAGACAAGGATGCCACAAGCCGTGGCAGCAGTCCAGCTTCCTCACCCTTTGCCGACTGGTGGAGGAGCGAGTGCGTCTGGCCACGCAAAGGGATGGCGTTTTAAGCTTTGTACTCTTAGGGCATATTGGCAATCTAACTTTTTGATTCATACTCAGTGTTGTATTGGATTCCAGTTGTATCCCTTGGAATTCCGAATGTACTTTGATCTACTTTGATGCGTCCTGCACTGGTCAAAGCAGCGCCTTTCCAGAGCCGGTTTGGCCATAAGCTAAAATGGTGCCGTTGATGCCCCTCAGGGCCTTAAAGGTGAACTCTGCACTCTCTGCGCTCTGTATGGTTTACTGTTTAGTGCTTCGTCCGGTACTTTCAGCGTTTGAATAAGGCGCTTGCCTCACGTAATACAGGAAGGCCGATTTGCATAAAGACGTCGCGCTGTGCCTAGGAATGACCCACAACTGAACGGTTGACTCAAGCCACCCTATGGGACTCTGACATCCGTTCTATGCAATTCAGCAGACAAAAAGGAACAAGACTTGGCAAATTAGGACAGTTTGAACAATGTCTCATCTATTTTCCTTTGTCCTAATTTCTCTTTCTTCTGCTGGACTTTTGGACCTTTAACACTCTATCTTTTCTTTTCTATTAATGGCCTCCAACCTAATAGCAAAAGGAACCTAATAGCAATGGGCTCCAACCTACCTATTTCTTTCTAATTGATTGCAGTCTTGTCAGAATCTTGTGAATTGCTTCGGCTTAGTGGGCTTCGTCCCAGTGCAAGGCACCGAGGATTCCCCGAAGACGCCATCGAAGGCGAACTCCCGTGGCTCACTGGGCGAGGTCTCCGCCTGTGAAAAAGAGCTACTTTGCTCCTAGTAGCGATACCAGGAGCCCCTAGTAGCTTCTGGTTCCTAGTCGTAAAAGCGTCAAGCAAAGCGCGATGAAGCCTTGAGACATGTCCTATTTTTACAAAGCCATGCATTCTGACAACTGCATTCTAACAAAGCCAAGTCTTTCCACACCTGTCCGGCCAGCATCCGCTCGACCGTGTCGACATCATTGCGCACACGAACGGTCTTATCGATGCAATCCACCGCATGACAAGGGCCATGGTCCTGGCGAGTGCTACAGTGGAACAAGGAAGCTACTAGGGGCTCCTAGCCTCGCTACTAGGGACAAGAAGCTACTAGGGACTCCTGGCATCGCTACTAGTAGCATTCTTACTGCTAGTAACAAGAACTGTAGTAGGAGCAAAGGGCATCGCTACGAACGGAGCAAGGACGCTACTAGAGGCTCACCCGTCTGCCAGTCTTTATTTTCGCGTCGGTTCCACTTGAGTGCTTCGGTGTTTCTGGCCTGTTCAATGGGTGGTCGCACACGTGCCCAGACCTGCACACGACCTGATGCGCTTTCCATGGCCCCAACTTTGCACTCCGACAAGCTCTCGTGTTGTGCTTCTCATGACTTCTACTTACTTGTTCTCTTAGCTGTGCTATTTGTCCAGGTGATGCTGACGAATTCTAGTGACACATGCTTTGCAGATTTGATGGTGTCTATATTTGTGCATGTTTGCAATAAATAGAGCGGTGCGAAATGGCTACGGACAAGATTGTGTCCAAGCTCGATACACCACAATAGTGTGCGCATTGAAGATTTGATTCCTCAACCCCCAAAACGAGCAAGAAGCGATCTCCAAGTCGATGGTGCCTTCATGTCATGCAATGTGCTCCAACGGTCCTGATAAATCTGACTTTTGGAATCTAATCTACACACATATCGACTGTATTTCTGCAGCGCGGGAGGCACTGGTGGCAATTGCATCTCCACCTTGGGTGGGACCACAGTGGCCTCGGCGGAAGTCCGCTCAAGCACGATTTCCACCAGTGCTTGATGCAAGCTTTCACGTAGGATCTCAAGTACACTGCAGTCTTAAGAAGAACAAAAGAAAGGAAGACAGAAAAATGATCAGAGAAAAGTGAAACAAAAAGAAGAACAAAAGTGCTATGCTGCATCGAGCCTTCTCTGCCGTGGCACAACGAGTAGAGGCCTGCACGCTTCGCACACATCCACATAAGGCTGTCGAGTCGAGGAATCTTCTCTTCATTTTGGGTGTCAACGTATTTCTCTCAAGAAAAATAGTAGCTTCTAGCTACTAGTAGCAAGGTGGCTTACTACTGCTAGTAGCTTGTCCTTACTAGTAGTAACAAGCTACTAGTAGTAATGCCCTTGTTACTAGTAGCAACATCCTTGTTGCTAGTAATGGATCATCATGTAATTCCATGTAATTGCAATTAATTGCATGTATGTCGTACTTTCCCACATTCACATGATTTTCCGCCAATGAATCGGTCCCAATGCCTCGCTGCCAACCACCAAATCTGGACTCCAAGCTTCTGTCTCAGGGCTACCTGAGCAAACGCTTCAGGGCTTCTGTCTCAGGGCCCATGGAAAGCATTAGTCTAAGAACTGAGTCCGTCAACCGTCCTCTTTGAGTGACTGAGTGTGTTCCGGAAGACTTCGTAAGAAGAATTGAGGAGTCCGCGTAGTTCACGAGGATCCTGGAGCAAACCAACAGCAAGCATGAGGACTTGGTTCATTGGACATGTTTTCCTTCTTAGGGCCGTATATGATACCTAAGCAAATCGATGTTCATTTTGTTGCTAATTCTTTCGCTGGAGGCCATTGCTGTTAGGTTGGAGGCCGTCGCTCTTGGGGTGGAGGCCATCACTATTAGAGGGGTTCTTTCCCAAACGTGCAAATTCTGTTCAAACTGTTGCGCCGTCGCAAGTCAAGTCTCCCCCAAGTCACCTGTGGTGCGACCTCGGCCTTGGAGAACGAGTTCGGTGCGGAACGAGTTTACTGACAAGACTGGAGTGGAGTAGAGTGGAATTTGGATTTGAGAGTGGATTTGGGAGATGTTGACGAAGTGATTCGGAAAGATTTGGAGCAAACTTTGGAAGCACGGCCACAAATCTACTCAGCTACTGCAGCCACAATGATGTTTGTCCACAGGTAACTTGATGCCACTAACATCGTAGTTCTGGTGCTCACCATGCATCCAAAAAAAGTATGATGCAACTTAGAGGTAAAATTGCCTTGTCTGCAGAGTGGATGAGTTGACTTGACATAAGAATGTGAACCAATCTCATCTCCAGCCTGCATCTCATTAGCTGTGAGCTCGGCTGGATGTAACTGGCAAAGCTCCGCAGGATCACACAGGTCACCATGGAGCTTCGTTAAAAGACCAGTTGGAAGGATGCATAAAGCAAACTGGAGGTTGCATACGGCAAAACAAGCCTTTCTCTTAGGTTGGAGGCCATTGCTATTATTAGGTTGAAGCCATTGCTAGTAGGTTGGAGGCCATTGCGCCAGCGCCATTAGATTGGAGGCCATTGCTATTAGATTGGAGGCCATTGCTATTAGGTTGGAGGCCATTGCTCTTAGGTTGGAGGCCGTTGTTATTAGGTTGGAGGTCATTGCTCTTAGGTTGGAGGCCATTGCTCTTAGGTTGGAGGCCATTGCTCTTAGGTTGGAGGCCATTGCTACTAGGTTGGAGGCCATTGCTACTAGGTGGGAGGCGATTGTTATTGGGTTGGAGGTCATTCCGATTAGGTTGGAGGCCATTGCTCTTAGGTTGGAGGTCATTGCTATTAGG